AAATAAAAGCGTTTATTTTGACTGTTATTTTCTTCATAAAATCCATGTTAGCCATTTAGCAACGAAGCTAGAGTCACCGGGCAAACAGAAGCCCTGCCCATCACGCGAACCCGTGTGTTTTGAAGTGAATTTGACACGTGAATGAAGCGGATTTGACGCGCGAATGAATCAGGGTTTGATGTGCGAATTAAGCAAGTAAACTCAAATGTTCACGCGGCAATTTACGCACGAATAGCGCAATTTATCTGCTCGTTCCGCGTCTGGTGTGAACACAGCATTACTCTCATCTAGGGATGGGTATCGTTAAGGTTTTAATGGTATTACTACTTTTATCGATACCACTTAACGATTCAGTACTTTAACGGTTTTCTTATCGGTACTTTTTTTAATGAAAAATTAACAAACACATTTTATTACATTATTACATTTTTAATGTAAAATAAATCAAAACAAATAATTGTAAAATAATGTAATGGTTTGAAGGAGAATGACTCTCAGTTTAACCGTTCTTCAAGAGAAAAATCAACATGTCTGTCTTTTCTGCCAGAAGTCGGGATCTTTCTTGGTTTATTGTGCTCCCTGCAGTTGAAAATACCCTCTTTGAGTTGCAAAATGCGGTTAAATGAGATAATGTTTATGATTTTTTCATTAACGCACTCAAATAAATCAGTTGACTGTGTTTTTTTAAATAGTTTTGGAGCATCTTAATGTAAAAATAAGCTGTGTTTTATAATTTTTTTAATAATAGTTTATTATTAGGCTACTCATAGGCTATATTTATAAATACAGCTGATGTAAAAGCAGTTTTAATGTTTAATATTTAGTTAGACTACTGCAAAAAATACATCTTTCATTGTAACCGAATGTGTGTGTTTATTTAACTATTAATATTATACTAATTTAGGTGATTGACTGCTGGCATAACGAAGGATGATGTAACGTTACAGTTAGTAGCTAGGCAGTCAAAAACTTTTGATTTGTCTTCCTGCAGTTAATGCAGTTAAGCCAGATTGATTGCATTTCCGCTTGTACAAGAAAACAACTTGTTGCGTTTGTTGCAACGAACAATGTCAATGTCCACTTTGGAAATGCAACCTGTTTGGTTCACTTCGCAAGTTTATGAGCTGTGTGCGGGCGAGTCTGTGTCGCGAGCTATACATGTGCGCTTGACTTTTACACTTAACGAACTCGCCGGAAACACGAGCATTTCTCATGTGACACTGCCAATCGTGCAGATGAATATCAAATATCGTAAATTAGAAAACTTGGTCAGTTAAATTATGCTACTGTGAATAATGTTTATTCAGCAATGATTCTCCAGTACAGATAGCAGAACCGGTAACGTCAGAGCTTATCGATACTTCTGCCTTTTATAAAGTAGCACCGATACCGATAAAGTACTGAGTACTAATATGTACTAATATGAATGTTTTTAGCTGTATAAAAAGATGTGCAACCTCAGACACTCATGCACACAATATTGAGTTATTATAATTGAACATTTTGACATCGAAGCCTAATAACATTTAAGGTCAAATCGCTCAACTTTAATAGAGTCCTAACTTCAGACGTATGTGATGTCACTTTTCACACCGGCAACATACGATATTGAAAGCAAGGTGTGAAACCATTTATCATATATGTGGCATTTGCTTGTGTTCGCATGACACATTGAAAGATACACACCGTAGATATCCAGTGACACCTTTTGTATCTGTTAGGCCTTCAATCTGTACAGATAAATTTGCATGTAGTCAACAAAACTTTCCTTTTGTTTCCATGAATGTCGTCATATTTCACAATTATGGATTTTGATGTCTTAACCAGTGTTCCCAGCATCAGCAAGATCATGTAATCACATACATCATCTTTAGCCAATGCTTTAAAGAACTTATTATAACTCCAGCACTGGATCTCTATTAAACACACACACACACACACACTGCTCTTCGTCTAATGAGTCTCGACCTTGCTTGTCAGTGGTCCCAGGGGAAACGGAACATTCCCAAAATATCATTTGAGTTGTAATAGGATTTTAATCAAGCTTTTAATCTATTATCGGGCCCACCGTCGCCCCCCCCACACCCTTACTTTCCGGAGCAACCCGCAATGTCAGAAAGTGTTTCCACGCTTCACTTTGGATGTGAACTGTGCCGAAGCGAGCCGAGCGAGGCTGTTAAATGTGGCCAAACTCAAGTCCAAATCTTTAATGCAGCGGGAATTTAGCCCCTAATTAAACCTTAATATCATGTCAATTCAAATTAGCACGGCTAGAGGCGAGGAGAGGACCAGCTCCGGCCCCCTTTTTTATTTTTTTCATTTTTCTCTCCCTCGCTCTCCCGAGAGAAGGGAATACAAAGAGGAGAGAAATGTCAGCAGGGAATGACGTGATAGATTAGAAATATTAAGGTCCATTAAATGGAAGTGTGTGTGCTGAGCGGAGCAGTTAAATGTGCGCTGTGACCCTGAGGGTTGCTGACATTCCTGCTGTTCACCCAGACTGCCTCAAATCACACACACACATACACTCTCTCTGCCTCATTTTGCCCCAGCTGCTGGTGTTCTCGTGCCCTCGTACAGCAGGGCAGAGGGTGGTCTTTCCAACCAGGGAAAGAGGAGTTTCATTTCATAATCACAATAATATAATTTGTTGGGAAGATTTCATTTTGGTATCGACTAAGACACTCATCAGAGAAGTCATGTGCTGTATGGGCTCACTTAGCCAGACTTGTTACTAGGCACAAAGTCTTGTCCACATTGTTCCTGTGTCTTGAAGGGTTTTTGTCTTGAAATAGTCATCTGGAATGGCAAAGAAAGTGTTTGAGCAGGACTCCCAGAGTTCTTCAAGACTCTTTGGAATCATCTTTAATGCCTCCTCCTTCATCTTACCCCAGACATAATCAGTAATGTTCATGTTTGGTGAATGGGCTGGCCAATCCTGGAGCACCTTCTTTGCTTTCTGGATCTTGATGTGGAGGCTGTAGTATGAGAAGGAGCGCTATCCTGCTGGAGAATTGTCCCTCTCCTGTGGTTTGTAATGTAATGGGCAGCACAAATGTCTTGACACCTCTGTGGATGTTGCAGCATCCCTCATACAGCAGAGCAGAGGGTGGTCTTTCCAAGCAGGGAAAGTGGGAGTTTAGATTCATAATCACAATAATATAATTTGTTGGCAAGATTTAATTTCAGTATCAACCAAGACCCTTATCAGAGAAGTCACATGCTGTATGGGCTCACTTAGCCAGACTTTTGAGTATGCACAAAGTCTTGTCTACGTTGTATCTCTGTTTTGAAGGGTTTTGAAACTGATGCTTCACCATGTGGCCGACAGATACAGAAAATTTGGAAATGTAAAATTCTGTCATCACTTGATCATTCTTGACTTGGATCAAATAATTAGGAGTTTCGTTTTGCTGCTGAACACAAAAAAATTATTTGATAAAAATGCTGGAATCTTGTAACCCAGTGGCAGGGTCGCACAGAGACCTTTCAAGGGGCATGTGCTCTAAGTAAAGACCCGGGGGCAGGTGGTGAATGATCGCAAACTCAATACCGGAGGGTACTTTCATTGGTTTCTGAGGGGCATTTTTTGATCCAAGAAAACAAAGGGCATGTACTCTGCACAGGTTGAGCCCTACCTGTGCACATGCCTGCCCCCAGTGGTGCCTAAACTCTGTCCTGGAGGGCCGGTGTCCTGTGTGGTTTAGCTCCAACTTCCTTCTAGTACACCTAGAAAGAACTTAATCAGCTTGTTGAGGTGTGTCTAATTGGGTTGGAACTAAACTTTGCAGGACACCGGTTTTCCAGGAGTGAGTTTAGACACCCCTAATGCAACGATTGACTTCCAAGGTAGGGTTGTCGGAAGTATTGTTCGGTAACAATCAGTGCTGAAATATAAAAAACATCCATTCCTCACTAACATTTGAGGGCTGTCTCTGTTTAGGGTGTACTTAAACACAGCTGATTGGCCATCGTGTTTACATGCCGTTCACCAAGTGTAAAGACAGATAGGCGGACACTGGAGCATTTCGAATGGGCTACGAGTGATCTGCTGATCGATAGACTGATGGATATGAAATTATTCAGTTTCCGTCAATCTTTGTTTGCACTTGATGAACAAAGATGAAGAATAGTGAACCGATGAGCAATCAGTCATTTCTGCTGAGCTCTTGAACACAATAGCCAGTCAGTGGTGTTTAGGTACACACTCAAATGTTGGAAATCTCAGTACCGAACTTGATAGTTTTGACCTCTCCAAAGTTTTTGTTTTTCCTACTATGCAAAATGTTGGTGACCCCTGCTGTGGAGGACTGAAACCAGATTTTCCTCAGTACTACTGGACTAGTAGGGCTCCAAAATTACACCACTATTTAAAATATATATTTGTTGAGGAACTACTGTTAAGTCTGCCATTGGGAATACAGAAGGAAGTTCACATGATATGCTTCCTGATCCAATGAGGACTATAAAGGGCTGTGAATAAGGCTGGGGGAGATGACCTTGGGCACTCTCTAGTCACTCTGTAAGGTAATTCTTCATGCCGGTAAAAGAGAGTCTATCTTGATTTAAAAAAAAAAACATAGGTGCTGAGCTCGTTACTTTTAGGGACCTGCCGTTTTGCTGATGTACTTCATCCAAAGTCCCTTACACCACACTTAATTCAGGGACAATCCCTGCCGGAGTGTTTTGGAGTTAAGCGTCTCGCTTAAGAATGCAGTTATTACACAAACAGATTGTCATCTCAGTAATACAGCATCCCATGATTCCTCTGTGACTCATGATCAGGATTAAATTGGTGCCCTTCATATTATAGACCAAGCTCGTTGACTTTTTGCGACGTCAACTGTTGTTTCAGAACAATCCATATGGATCTCTTGTAAATTCTTGTGTTTTCAGAGTTATATTTTTGGCTTGGAGGTGTTGAAGAGTGATTGGAACATGTTTGAGGTGTGTGTGTGTGTGTTTGAGGTTTTATTGACATGCCACATTGTGGGTTTCAGCACCGTGACGTCAGCTGTGTTCACCGTGGGAGACAACGTGGTGTCTGGAAGTGACGATCGCACCGTCAAGGTGTGGGACTTGAAGAACATGAGATCTCCGATTGCCACCATCCGCACCGACTCGGCTGTTAATAGGTAAGAGCAGCAGGTTGCTGGAGGTGTAAGACTGCTTCCTGCGACTTGTTTCTGAACATGTAAAGACAAGCCTGTTTTAGTAAGTCATGGGAATTGGAGAAACTTGATTCCTCAGAATTTAAATATTTTGAAAGGAACAAGTCAAGTCAGACTTCTAAAGCAGAAACTGTGTGGAAGATAATGTGTGTAGGTTATTCGAAGCACAGTAACTACACGTTTGATCAAAAGTGAGTTACATCAAAGCGTACAATGTTCTTTGTGACATCTTTTCTGGGATAAAGTTTTGGGATAAAGCAACCTGGGTTCATTTTGCCAAAGTTCAAAGAAACTAGACTGCAGATCTACCTACAACATACAAATTTGACTTACTTTTTTCTCGTTTTTTTGTGCTTAAGTAGTAACTGCACTTTACCTTTATATGAAGAGGGAGATATTTATTAATTTATTGATAGATTTAATGGATGTATAAATGATTTATATGCCTACAAGCACATTTTTATAGCCACTTTTGAAATCTTCATTTTTAGAAATATTCCCCGTACTTCATGTTTTTATCTCTGGAAGTGGTCAAAACTGGACAGGCTCAATATGTTTTATTGCATTTGTGTTTAGTGTTGTCCAGTTGTAATCTGATTAGTGAAGAAGAAAAAAAAAAACGCATTTTAATACCAAGTCCAAGTGCAGTCTTTGTGTAAATAATATCAATGTAATGTATTCACATTTAAATGGAAACTAATACAATCTTGTTTAATTGATTCGTTGGTTTGTTTGATTGACTTGGCTGGCTGGTTAATTGATTGGTTGGTTGCTTGAGTTAGTTAGATGGGTTGGTTAATCAATTGATAGATTGGTTGGTTAGTTGGTTGGTCGACTTGTTAGTTGATCAAGTTGAATAGTTAGTTGGTTAATTGGGTTGATTAGGTTTGTTGCTTGATTTTTTATTTTTTTGGTTGGTTGATTAGTTAATTGAAGTCGCTTGGTTAGGTGATAGAGTTAGCTGATTGAGTTGGTTGGTTGATTGAGTTAGTTAATCAATTGATGGGTTGATTGACTTGTTATTTGATTGAGTTGACTGGTTAGTTGGTAGATTGGTGGGTTGACTGGTTGGTTGATTTCTTAATTAATTGGTTGGTTGATTAGTCAATTGAGTTGATTGATTGATTAATTAATTGGTTAGTTGGAATTGGTTGATAGAGTTGGTTGATTTGTTGGTTGGTTGGTTGACTAAGTTGGTTGATTTAGTTAGTTGGTTGAGTTGCTTGGTTGGTTGATTGAGTTGGTTGTTGAGTTGCTTGGTTGGTTATGTTGCTTGGTTGGTTGGTTGAGTTGCTTGCTTGGTTGAGTTGCTTGGTTGAGTTGCTTGGTGAGTTGCTTGGTTGAGTTGCTTGGTTGGTTGAGTTGCTTGGTGAGTTGCTTGGTGAGTTGCTTGGTGAGTTGCTTGGTTAAGTTGCTTGGTTAAGTTGCTTGGTTGGTTGAGTTGATTGGTGAGTTGCTTGGTGAGTTGCTTGGTTAAGTTGCTTGGTTGGTTGGTTGAGTTGCTTGCTTGGTTGAGTTGCTTGGTTGAGTTGCTTGGTTGGTTGAGTTGCTTGCTTGGTTGAGTTGGTTGTTGAGTTGCTTGGTTGGTTGAGTTGGTTGGTTGAGTTGCTTGGTTGGTTGAGTTGGTTGGTTGAGTTGCTTGGTTGGTTGAGTTGCTTGGTGAGTTGCTTGGTGAGTTGCTTGGTTAAGTTGCTTGGTTAAGTTGCTTGGTTGGTTGAGTTGATTGGTGAGTTGCTTGGTGAGTTGCTTGGTGAGTTGCTTGGTTAAGTTGCTTGGTTGGTTGGTTGAGTTGCTTGCTTGGTTGAGTTGCTTGGTTGAGTTGCTTGGTTGGTTGAGTTGCTTGGTTGGTTGAGTTGCTTGCTTGGTTGAGTTGGTTGTTGAGTTGCTTGGTTGGTTGAGTTGGTTGGTTGAGTTGCTTGGTTGGTTGAGTTGGTTGGTTGAGTTGCTTGGTTGGTTGGTTGAGTTGCTTGCTTGGTTGAGTTGGTTGTTGAGTTGCTTGGTTGGTTGAGTTGCTTGCTTGGTTGAGTTGGTTGTTGAGTTGCTTGGTTGGTTGAGTTGGTTGGTTGAGTTGCTTGGTTGGTTGAGTTGGTTGGTTGAGTTGCTTGGTTGGTTGGTTGAGTTGCTTGCTTGGTTGAGTTGGTTGTTGAGTTGCTTGGTTGAGTTGCTTGGTTGGTTGGTTGAGTTGCTTGGTTGGTTGATTGAGTTGGTTGACTGAGCTGATTGGATGGTTGGTTGATTGAGTTGGTTGGTTGGATAAGTTGGCTGGTTGATTGAGTTGGTTGATTGAGTTGATTAATTATATTTCTGTCTTGACCTGCAGGATAAGTGTCTCTGCGAACCAAAGAATCATTGCTTTGCCACATGACAACCGTCAGGTCAGGCTGTTTGACATGAATGGGGTTCGTCTGGCTCGTCTGCCACGCAGCAACAGACAGGTACGTTTCACACTGGGAAGAGATATTTATAACTTTCTTGTTGCCTCATGTCTGTTCAGTTTCTTTACACTCTTTAAATTTCCCATCTACTTAAATGGAAGCCCTTTTTAGTTTAGTGCTCAGGGATAAAAAGATGACTCTCAATACCCGAGTAGCTGTGTACTTTTATCCCTGCTGTTAGGATTCCTTAGATGAATATGTAGATATTTGCAACAAACCTTCCTCAATATAATAAATTCAAAGAAACAACTTTACACACACTATGAGAGCAACATCTTACATGGTGCAAGGAACTAAAACAACAGAATTAAAGTGATATTTCACTCCAGAATTTTAATTCTGTCACCATCTACTAAGCCCCTGCTTGTTCCAAATGTGTCCTTTAATGTGTCCTGACATATTTGACTGAATGCACAGGGTCATCGTCGTATGGTGTGCTGCTCAGCCTGGAATGAAGAAAACCAGGCCTGTAATCTGTTCACCTGTGGCTTCGACCGGCAGGCCATCGGCTGGAACATCAACATCCCTGCACTCCTGCAGGAGAAGTAAATCCTTCATCATCCAATCAGGCCTTGAGGTGCCAGGAAGACTGGTGTATTTCATGGATATTGTGCATATCTAGGTCATATAGTGTGGTGAACTTCCTGACAGTCTTGTTACCCCATGTTTGCATGATTCAGATCGGGACACTGCCGAAAACATTTCTGTTACAGTCTATTTTTTTGGTTGTTGTTGTGCAATGTTCAGTTTGTACAGAATACTTTTTATTTTATGATCACATTTTAGATCGTTTCGTTTTGTATAGATTTCTGCTTTGCTTTTTATAGAGATGAGACGCGAGAAGAAACGTAGAGCACTCTGCCTTTTGTGAGCGGAAAATCGGCAATCGCATTTACGGAACCGCACCTTCTGATTGCCGCTCAAGCAGCCAATCGGCTTCATTTCAGTATTTCCGCAGTCCATTTGCATGACAAACCCAGCTTTCTGTCAGGTATGTGAAGCCAAATGCTGTATAATTGCTGTGTGATCGCCAGAAAAGCTGATTTTTGTAAGTATCGTGACTGTTTATGAAGCCTCGCGTTTGATGTTTACTTCCATTCGAAGAGTTGTGTAGAAGTAAGTGTGTGAATCGTTCTACACATCTGGATTCAGAACAAATTCACGTTGCTGTAGTTTGTTCCATATTGCGAGTTTGCTCCATATAGTAGTATTTTCCTCAATAATAATCGGACCAAATGTGGATGCCTTGCACAGTACTGATTAAGAGGCTTTCTGATGTATTTTGGACTCCTCGTGATGTTATAACCACTGTGCTTAGCCGTATCTACAGAGACTTCACTCAGACAATGTTAGACATGAATAATCATGGAAGTTTCTACATTGGTGTGTTACAATCGGTATCGTTACTGCATTGCTGGACTTTCACCCGAACTACACTGGACTCATTACTGATGGAAAGCCATTCACGTAGGCAGTCTGTTAAATCTGTAAGGTCGAACAATGAAAGATGTTTATTATGCAATGTATATTTGTGACGTCCATGCTGAATGGACTGTATTTGAGTTTAGAGTTTAAGTGTACGCTGAATCGCTTGATCCAGTGGTCAATCATAAATGACCCTTCAGGATGTCCTTTAAATCGAGTCGGATCTCCAACATTTTAGTTGTGTAAACTGGGTATAATGTTCTGTGGGTTTTCTGTATTGAGCCATTATTTTTTTTTATTTGCTGTATTGAAAAGACAAAGCATCATATACTCACAATGTAGATGCGTAGATTCAATAAAGTCACTCACTGCTGGGCTTCAAATAAAAAGTGAAAATGTCTTTCAATGGTCACGTTTAATTTTAATACATTTTATGTTAATTAAACTAGTATATATATATATATATATATATATATATATATATATATATATATGGGCAATGTCAATTTGGCATCGTATGATATCTAATATGAAACTTTGCGATCATCATAGGCGGCGGTGAATTAATTATGAATAATTCATTAATTCATAACGAATTAATTATTTGTGGCCTACCGTTCAAACTACCTGACTCGCATGGTCTTTTTTTTACCCATAAACAAATCATATTTCACTCTGAATAGGCAGAGTGATCTGTGTCGTTATAATGTCGTCGACAAACTTTTTTGGTTAAAAAGGTGCACAACCAACAGGAACCAGACAACAGTATCTGAGGTGTTCGCTAAAATTACTAAGTACAAGTGTGAAAGTGAAAGATTGAAGCAGTGTACGAAACCGATGTCTCGAGCGCATGACAGTGTGTGCGCGTCTGTGGTCACGTGATGTGCGTTTTCAGCGGTAGTGTGGAAGGAGGGCTGTTCAGAAATGCTAAACACCAGTGTGGATGTGGATCGTTTTCGTTCTAAAATGCCATTTAAAAACTAAAACCTATTTGTGTAAACAGAGCCTGTGTGTATTTTTGGCAAGCGGATTTGCAACGGGGCGGGGCGAAGGATCGCAATATAAATAAATTGTATAAATATATATATATATATATATATATATATATATATATATATATATATATATATATACATACACACACACACACACATATATACATACGCACGCACATGTGTATATATGTGTGTGTATATTTACACACACACATACACATATATATATATATATATATATATATATATATATATATATATATATAGACACACACACACACATACATACGCACGCACGTGTACACACACACACACACACTATGGTAAAATGTAAAATATAAATTGCAACAAGCTCCCATTAAATAATGACTATGAGCAACAGCAACAGCATCATTGTTATTATTAATATAAATAAAAACATATATATTTCATATTAACTTGAGTCCGTTAATAAAGTGATCATGCTTTGGGTTTTAATTAGTAAACGTTGAAATTAACTTAATGAACAGAAATTGATAAATATTATTTCACGTATAGCTCATGTTCGCAAAAAAAAAAAAACCTTCCTGTAATGTCCTCAACTTCAACAGCGAATCAAACAGAAGCAAGTCCAAGTATATCACAACATAGTTATTTTTGTTTTATTCACATAAACATTCACTTTTAACTCAAGTGCAATGTACAGACCTTAGCAGCATGTGCTTTCAGGTTAAAATGTACACAGTATTGAGAGATCTCAAGGTTATTCTTTTAGTTCTCTGTATTTCTTTTTTTTTTCCTTACAAATTTTTACAAAATGTACAGTCATTAGTACAATATTGCCATTCAATCATGCCTTACGACTGAATTACTTGAGACGTGGTTTCGTCAGGGGGTTGTGTTGTGATGAGGAAAAAGCTTGACTTAAACGTAACATGACTGAGAGAGAAGAAATGTACATACGACACGTGCATTAACAGTCTGTCCAGTTACAGAAACGAGGATTGTGAGTGACGGGAATGACAACAGCATTCATCAATTAACGAGAATAAAAGACAGAAAATGAGGCCGAGTTGCATCACGAAGAGCTCAGATTCAACATCTTCTCTACTGATCTTCTATTTCTAATGGTAGACAACAGATCACATTTAAGCATGAATGCGTTTGTTCTTTCAAAAATATATTTATAACACCAAGTGAGACTCTAAGCAGGGAAAGAGAGGTGAAGATCCATTAATAACCACTAGGTGTCCCTGTAACCTCTCCCATTTGTTTGTAAAGGCTGCCCACATGACATCTCAGCAAGGATTGACATTGGAAAACATACTGAAAGGATGTGATATTAATAATATAAGCAATAACAAACTAAAAGTATCAACCATTACACGTGTTGCCAGTCAGTCAGAAGGATGATTGAGTTGACAACAATAAACATTTGTATTAATATATATATAAAGCAACTCGAGGTAAAAGCACACATACTAAACATAAATAAAGGACATCTGATGTACTGTAGCTCAGTGGCGGTTCTAAGGGGGAGACAGGGGGCCTCTGTGTCAACAAGCTTAGTCTACATCCCCCCCCTAAATTTGGACGTGCATTTTAGGGTGCTTTCACACCTGTGAATTGATTCAGTTGTTCCGAAACAGGGATTAAAATTGTTACAGTGTTGCTCTTTGCTCTTGGTGCGGTTCACTTTCACACGGCAAAGTTTCTAATCGGACCAAAAGAGCTAAAACAAGTCACGAGCGAGTAAACTCTCCTCACATTGGTCAGTGTCAGGATTTATTTTGCAGCGTCCCGCTAAGCTGTCAGGAGAGGTGGTGGTTTGGTGGTGATTGACAGGGTGCACGCGCGACGCGTCTGAGGAGAGACGCGGTGGGAGGGGTGAGAAGGGTGCGCAACGATGCCTATTTGAGGACAGGGAGGGAGATACAAGATTACCGGGAGATCATCACTCATTTGCGGGCATCCGGAGACTCGCGAAACTTCCGGCCCTACTCATAATTCTCTCTTCATATAGCCGTAAGCCTATTACACATATCCATAAAACACTGTGATATAACCGCGCTCGGATCGGATCGCTTTCTCACTGCAATCGAACCGCTCCAGGGTTCGTTTCAATCGAGCCGAGACCACCTCATTCAAGCGATCTCGGAGCGATTACTTTGGCGCGAAACAGAACGCGATTGCCCAGTTCACATATGCCAATCGAACCGCGCTAACTGGGCAAACGAGATACGTTCCGAAACAAAAGTGTGTGCTTTCACACCTGTGAATTGATTCAGTTGTTCCGAAACAGGGATTAAAATTGTTACAGTGTTGCTCTTTGCTCTTGGTGCGGTTCACTTTCACACGGCAAAGTTTCTAATCGGACCAAAATAGCTAAAAACAAGTCACGTGCGAGTAAACTCTCCGCCATTTTTAAGAGCTGTCGCAGAATTGATTTCACTCTTTTATTGAGCTGAAGCTTGACTACAAAATTAAATACGCAATTAGATATTTTACCCAAATGGCACAGTCCTAGTACTGACCCTTGTTAGAGACAAGTTTAATTAATATAAAGTTGAACTTAAGTGAGACATGATCCAGCGGTATATCCTTGATAAACTGTCCGACGTGCACTGCTCTCCGGGGTTTTGACTGCCTGGAGTTTAGACGTGCACATATGCTGCAGCACATAGAGTTGGTGTGTGTGTGTGTGTGTGTGTGTGTGGTCATCTGATGTGTTTTTAGCAGTATAGTGTGGAGGGAGATATTTTCAAAAATGCAAGATGAAATGCCAGTGTGCACGAGGATCATTTTCGATGTAAATCGCTATTTTAAGCCTAAAGGCCTGTGCACACTGAGACGTATTTTGCTCGCGTTTTCCGTCAAAATTTAACGCCTCGTGACTAAACAAAGAGCGTCAATGTGATCGTGCACACCAACGAGCAAAACGCCAATCGCAAAATCGTCATTTTAAAAAAAAAACACCTCATGCTCGTTTATTTCTTTTGACGCGCTGCGTGAAAACCTTCTCCACCAATCAGATTGGCACTTTTGTTCACGTGCACAGAGCTGCTGAAATTACAGTAAACAGCACTTGGAGGCGCTCAAGCAAGCGCACATTGAAGAAGATGCCCAGAGGCGATATGAACGTTTAGCTGATTATTGCTCTGTGAACAATAGTCATTTCTTCATCGCTAGAGCTGGAGCTGCTGCTTGAACCATCCATGCTTGTTCGAGTCACCAGTAACTTTAACAACACGCATGTGAACTTCCTCTCCTCCTCTTCTTCTGTGTTATAAGCAGGTGTCAGAAGTTTGTGTAGTGCTATCTAACGTCAAGGAGTGATTTTGCATACTTATCTGCTTGACGCCTGTGAGAAATCGCTTGGGTTTGAATACAGAAAACTGTCTCGTAAAACGCTGACGATAAACGCAAACGAAAAGCGTCCCGGTGTGTAGGAGCCTTAAGACGCATTGCTGCTGCAACAGGGGTGGGACGGAGGATTGCAATGCTGGCTCAGCATTGTGATGTCTGTGACCCAACCCTATGACTGACCTTAATTTTTTTTCAACGGCTTAAAAAAATAAAAAAAAAAACTATAAGAAACTATAAGAAATAAGACTTATTATGACTCCAGAATAATAATTTGTGTTTTATATATAATACTGTGAAAATATCCTTGGTTTGTTAAAGATCACTTATGGGAAACATCATTTTAAATTAACGGGAGGTGAAATGAAATGACTTTAACTGCATCTGTTTAAGTTTACAGGTGCAAAAATGTGCCTCGATCTACTTGAGGGTTAAAAATGTGTTATCCCACTACAATACAAAGTTACTTATAAAATAAATGAACATGAAAGATTGCTTTGAGCTTTTTAAAATTAGCTTGTTTATAAAGATGCATGAAAAAATAAATTTGAAAAATTAAGTAGTTTGTGATGCATGTTAAAGTGTGGCCCCTACAAGTACAAGTGGACCCCAAGTTACTCTGGTATAGAACCGCCACTGCTGTAGCTGTGAATGATATTATCAGACCATTTTGAGGGATGCAAAACCAAAACAATGGTCCCAGTGTATTTCCTGTCTGACATTTTTATTTTCTGTAGCTTCCAAGAATCCAAAAAGAGCCACATATTAATGAATAATGTTATAAGAGCTGATTTAACATTACATTCTGATTGAATAGCCTCTTGTGACAGTTATGAAATAGTTTGATAAGCAGGAAATGTTCATGAACCACACTGAAATGGTCTCAATCATTGGTTAAACCTCAGGTAAAGTGGCATGCGTTTGGGATCGGGGGGCAATTTATAATGTGCTCGGTTTGTAAATTAATCCATTAGGTGCAAATTACTCCATAATCACGGATCTCTACTTCCACTAGTTGTCTTTTGTGTGTGCGTCAAACCGGCGACGTTTCCCTTTCTTTAGGTCTCTGAACCCTTTACACCGTGTGTGAAGACACAAAGAGCAGAGATGACGCGTCACCTGCGAGCCGGATTGGGGCATTAAAAGTCGAGACCCGGGGTGTCGTAATGGCACCATTTACATTAGCATGTCACCATTACCACACGAAAAAACGGAGCTGAATTAACCTGTCTTTGCAATGTCAAACCCTACTGTTTTTTCGTCCCTTATTTTGAAGCTAGAGTGAAATAGAGAGAGGGAGAGAGGAAAATGAGGGCCGCATCACTCTGACAGGACCTCTAATTGGACAGCGTGTCGGAGCTCTTCAGGGGCAGGCCATCCGGAAACGGGCAGATAATGACAAGACGGCGACTGCCTTTCACTTTGGCGAAGGTTAACACACACATACACACGTCTGAATGACAGTTACAGGAGAGAAAGAGAGAGATAGAGAGGTGACCATCTTTCCATCTTCTGCTGTGTTTAGTAAAAGTCCCCATTTCTATTGAGGCGAAGTTGGCTTTATGTTCACACATTCTGACTTTCTCCTTAATAATATAATTTCATAAAAGTATTTTTTGCAAATTCTGAATATGGAAATCATATTAGCAGCCAATGAATATTAAAGTACATTGTTTAGTCAATGGGAAATATGCACACGGACTTTTAATTTGTCAGCCAGCCCCAACATAGATATATACATATAGATATATGCATCTATGCTCCAATACAAAACGTCACCTTTAAGATCTGACATCTCTAAAAAAACAGCGATCTTACAGCCTGGCTGAGATACAATATAAAGTGTGTATCAGACCAAACAAGAAGCACTGCATTAAATGATAGTTTTCCCCGCCATGTCTTTAAAATAAGGAAATTAATTTAATTTCAGTATTTTCAATGGGGTTTTTGAGCTAGCGACTACGCCTGGATTTAAACGGATTTTCGTCTCTTTTTACACTTTAACAACCAAATGGATGTTTAAATATTTTTAACTGATTATAATTTAATTAAATTACAACAACGATGCTGTAAAAGCAACCTTGTTAAATTATATAATTGTCGCATAAACCTTTCACCGGAAGTTCTCCATTGGCTGAAAAGCTGTACATGTAGCCCATTAAACAGTGCAAATGTTGTTTTGAAGTACTTTTTTACACGCCATTTCAGACCCAATAGTCAAAGTAGCGTGATAAACAATATAGGGACTGCTAAAATATACGAATGTGCGAATATAAAACCAACTCGACCTCAATCTCATGTCACATTACCTCTTGTCGTTGCTGGTAAACCTTGTTCTGTCAAAAATCTCATTGTTTCCCTGCAAACTAAACCAGTGATGTGCTGCAAGGTATGTGACTTTCAGAGTCAGATTTTCATATATGCACACAATATAATTGCCATCTACCGATTGTGTTTTATATCTCACATCAGCATCCTTTTTATACACATATCATTTATTTAGTGGGCCAAGGAAGAATGTAAAATGTGCGGTTCACTATGCCTCTCAAACACCAAGGTGGACGCTGCTGACAATAACAAGCCACACAGCACAACGGCGTGTGCGCGCGCGCTCTCTCATACACACACAGTGCTTGAACACGGGTCTTACCTTTGCTTGTAAATGAAGTCTTGAAATTACTTGAATTACTGAACTGCTCGCGCTATTTTCTTTCCTGTCATTTGAAGCAAGGCCCTTAGCTCCGGTGTTGTGCCGAGAATTGCACCCGTGCCGTAAACTGCACCCCCAGATTGCAACAGGTGTGTTGTGCCGAGAATTGCACCTCTGCCGTAAAATGCACCCCATTCATTAGCATCCTCAGTGTATATTAAAAAAATAATAATAATGAAAATTCATCATTGATTGAAGCGTATTAATATGATTATTTAGACGGATAAAGCAAGAACAATATGTGAAACGCATTTTAAAACGCACTAGGTTTACAAATAAATGTAAAATGGCCAAAAACCAAACTTGATTAAGGGTGGTGGAATAAAGTTAAATATATCAACTGTATTATTTTAAAGTCACCATTTATTTTAATAGAAAAAAAGTATTTGAAGCGTCATGGTTGGTCATTGAAGCTAAATTGTCCATAGTGAATAAGTGTGTGCATGGATGTTTCCCAGTGTGGGGTTGCAGCTGGAAGGGCATCCGCTGCGTAAAACAAATGCTAGATGAGTTGGCGGTTCATTTCGCTGTGGCGACCTGATTAATAAAAGGACTGAGCCGAAAAGAAAATGAATGAATTGACTTCTTTCTTATGATTAACTTTACAATTTTGTACATTATATAATGAACTTCTTACAATAAAAACATGAACAATCCCTTTTATAACTTGATGGAGATCAATGCTGAATACACTATATATATATATATATATATATATATATATATATATATATATATATATATATATATATATATATATATAAGCTAATATATGCAGATTTCAGAGGGTGTGTATTTCTCGGCACAACACCAGCATTGGTCGTCAATTATTTATTACTTCACGTTTTGACTGAAAGTCTATTTTTGAGAATAGTTTGAGCTGATATATTGTATCCGCAATTTTCAGAGCAGTCAGAACAAAACAAACTAACAGACTCCTTTAACCTTACTTGACTAACATTATGTAGAAGAGTAACCCCCAAACAAGATTAACCGTGAGCTCACGCGCACCCCTTGGCTGTTTCTCAACATGCGTTCTTGTCTGTACTTGTGTTTTTGATATTGAGAAACAGCCCTTCATTGCGGCAGAGCTACCGCCTGCCTCACCTCAGGTCTTTTCAGTGCAGCTGTACATCAGATCCTAACCCTAAACAAACAATAACATGAAAGACATTCCCTATTATATGGAAATCGAGGACATAAAATAATATTTTACCATGTATAAAAACATTTTAATAAAGCTTTACATTGGTAGCGTACACTGAATGAGCAAAAGGTACGTGCTCGAGCCTCAATCTGACGTGAGGTGCTCTCGGTGCTGCCTCCCCTCGCTTCCTATGCTGTAATTGAACAGGAAATATGCAAAATACAGCGGTTTTGAATGTAAAATGATTGAAGTTATTTAACAGTGTACGCTAACATCAGTAGTCAATGCAACATTTTGTGCAGAACAGTGTATGAAATTTGACTCGGACAAAATGTAAGTAAATTACAGGCACTATAAATTATATTAACTATTATAATATGTAAAACTCTTTTGACCACATTGTTGAGAGTAGTCTCAAATAGCTGTATCTTGGGGACCATTTGGGGACCAAAGTCGATTCCTGGAGGGCTCTGTACAGTTTTGCTCCAACCCTGACCAAATACAGATGATCCAACTAATGAAGGTGTTCATGACTCTTGAACACACCAACTATTTGGATTAGCTGTGTTTGATAGGGTTGGAGCTAGGGTTGTAACAATATACCGGTATGACGGTCTACCACGATTTGAACGTGCACGATTATCATACCATGAACAATTGCATATCAACGGTTTTAACCCTTAAAGACCGAGACAGCCGCCCGCGGCTAAAAATAAGTATTGCTCTTAAATGTTTAATAACTTTTGATCCGCTGATCCGATTCATACAATTCAAAGATTGGCATAAAGAAGAGAATCTCAGCTTTCAGTGCTGTATCACTGTATGCGGAATCAGTGCGGTTACGTCATCAAAATTTGACAACGCTGATTTGACAAAGAAACGCTCGTCACTGTGTCTCCGGACAAACCAGAAATGATACATTGATGCATTGTCCCTCCTCCATGCCCAGATTGGTTCAAACTCGCTATATCACAACCAATAAGCATAGGTTTCGCTTTTGTTTGTGGACCAAACAACGAGCTTTTTGAACAACACGGAATGAGAGATAGGCATACATTTATGCGCGGCTAAATAAAACGCCAAAAAAAAAGTTTTGCATGAAATAATTCTCATACTAAGTACTTTTGCATGCACAGCAGCACAGAAACATGACAAAACAGTGACACAGCAAAGACGAACTGCTGCTCTTGCTGTTTTCAAAAGACGCAAATGAAGGTGCAGCTGTTTGTCTGCATTGCAGACAACCATATCCAAATCCATATCCACAGACAACCATATCCAAATCCATATCCACAGACAACCATATCCATGCTGGCACATAAAACATAAGAATGTTCCATATTGAATCTAGTTTCGTTATGTAACTATTTATAGTATAGTAAATATTTATATCTTTTTTTTTACTGAGGATTTGCACCATGTTTATTTGGACTTTGACACATTATTTATTATTTTCTTATTTTTATTTGTTCATTGTAAGTGGTGTTGTTTATAGTAACTGAAAATATATTATTTGGAAAAAGTCAAATTTGCTTCACTGTTCTATTATTTTGTAACATTTGTAACATACCGAATACCGCGAAACCGTCAAACCGTGGTATTGTTTTAGACGAATTTTATACCTTAAAAAATTCATACCGTTACAACCCTAGTTGGAGCAAAACTGTGCAGAGCCCCTCCAGGAATCAACTTTGGTCCCCAAATGGTCCCCAAGATACAGCTAATAGAGACTATAATAGACTATAAACTCGAGGAATCCAGTTTGAGACCTATGACTTACTGGAAACATCCAAATTTTGCAAGATTTTGACAGAACAAGGTTTACTCTTTAGCCTCAACTTTTGTCATCTTCTCATGGAGCTTTTTTTGTCGGCAGTGGGATGGTGTTGACTTCAGCAGTGAGAAAGATCTTCTGTGGCAACTGGTTGGCAGGTGAAGGTGGTTTTGGCGAAGAGGGGATGACAAAGACCAGGTCAGGCCTCCATTCATACAGTCAGAGTGAAGGTTTCCTGCTCGGGAGGTTTTCTGACCCAGGTCCCTAAACCTGCTTCCTGTAGACCCTTCAACCACTGCAGCTTCACAGTCTGGTAGGTGCCGGCCGCCTGCTTCGCTTCGCAGTACAGCAGTGTACCACTCGCCCCACGGACCACCAGCTACGGAGAGAAAAAGAATGAAGGAACGAGGGATGAGACAGACAGAGGAGATGGTGAGAGTGCAAAACAAAACGAATGAGCCGGCACAAACGTGGCGTTTGAGCAGCTGTGTAATCTCTCCATTTAAATTTCACAAGCAATTGAACATTCTCCATGCTTTTGTGCATTTCTTTGCCGCACACTCACACACAAGAATAAAAAACAGTGCGAGCAAAAAGGGGGCGCGGCGAATGAAGGGGCTCGGAGAAAAGAAAAGTTTCTTTGGAGATTAGCGTGTGTGCTCTTGCGTCCCTGACTGCGAGCGCTGAGCGTTTGCCATGGGAGGCCGCTCAAGTGCTTTTCAAGATGATTACCATTTCCACAGTCATTAGACTTTAACTGCCAGCATTTGGTAGAGCAGCCGGCATCTCTCCCATACATTTACATGATGAGGGTCTAATTTTGCCCAAGACTTTTTTTTTCTTCTTCTCATAACAAATGGAGCTGTCTGTTGTGGTTAATAAAAAACAGAGTGCTCATCCTAGTTTGCTACAGTGACCTGGGAGGGATGAGAGCTGGTAACTAAAAGGTTCTGGTTTTCAGCCTTCTCAAGACTCCTCGAACATCTTGTAAAGCAACTCTATAGACTTGGCATACTTCAAACAAGCTTTTTTTTTGTTCTTTAAGGACAGGAGCAGTTTGAAATGGCTGGGTGATGCTATGTCGGTTTCAACACTTCAACAACCCCAGCTTCTCGTCCGGTGTGTGACCCCAAAATTAATTTGTGAGCTATTGTACAGGTGCATACCGGCTCGGCTACTCGACTCCTCACTGTATTCATGTGGCTAGGGTTGTTGTTTATGGATATTGTGCTCCTGTCTGTCTGGCCTCTGTGGATATCAGACATGAAGCACCTTAAATAAGTTCCAGAACACGTCCATTGATTGAGTAATCACAATAGACCAATGTTTTGGTGCTTTTGGAGAGCTTTTTAAAACAATCGATTGAATACAAACTAGGTTTTGGACGGTCTTTGTTTTAAAATGGCATCTTTTCAGTCAGATCTTAAGCTCTGTTACAGGTATATCAGGCTCTTAACGATGCCCCAAAATTGCCCCAATCCTTACCAATTGCCTAGCTGGCACATAGACTTGTGTGATGGACAATTGGCTCCAACCATCATGATTTTTCCAAGGTTTTTTTAAGGCCCTGATAAGTTTCATTCATTCATTCATTTTCTTGTCGGCTTAGTCCCTTTATTAATCTGGGGTCACCACAGCGGAATGAACCGCCAACTTATCCAGCAAGTTTTCACGCAGCGGATGTCCTTCCAGCCGCAACCCATCTCTGGGAAACATCCACACACACACACATTCACACACACACACACTCATATGCTACGGACAATTTAGCCCACCCAGTTCACCTGTACCACATGTCTTTGGACTGTGGGGGAAACCCACGTGAAGGCAGGGAGAACATGCAAACTCCACACAGAAACGCCAACTGAGCCGAGGTTTGAACCAGCGACCCAGGGACCTTCTTGCTGTGAAGCGGCAGCACTACCTACTACGCCACTGCCTCACCCCTGCTAAGTTTCAGTGAGCGTCAAAAGTGGGTTTCAATGTCATGAACATTACAGGTGATTCTCACCTTAAAGGCCCTGGTGTACTTCAAATGAAATTGCAGAACTGAAATGATGTGATTTTGAACAAAATCCTGCCATAATGAAGTTCCTTTTGAGTGTTTCATGAGTTTGAAACAGGTCACCAATGGAAACTTTTGGGAAAGTTTGTTTTGGCTCCTAAATAGCTTTGAGTCCTTGATGACTACGCAGTCAGTGGATGTGTTCTGGAACTCTACCTTCTATGATGCGCAATTTCTTCCCACTTGATTCATGTCTAATCTACGACAGTAAAACAGACAGGAGAACAACATCCAAAAAAACAACACTAGCCACATGAATACACTGGAGAGTAGACACTGGAGAGAAACTGAGTTTGACATCTGTGCCTTAAAAGAACAAAGACCTCCTCCCTTGTTACCTTCGATTTTTTGTTAACAATCGAGATCAAACATGTGAACAAGATCGTAAAAGAATGTGTATAGTGTTGAACAAACTGATTCGTTCTATCCAAAAGTGAGCTCACCTTGCGATAAAGTCTGACCCAACGTGCAAAAAGTGCATGCTTGCAAAGTCTGGACGGAGCCCCGGAGTCCCTCCTCTTCCCAGTAGACGCGTTGAGCACCTCCATTTGAGCGTCACCTGCCGTCCAATTGACACTGTAACACACAGACTTCCCCTGCTGCCTGCAGTCACTGTTGCTCAGGCCTGTGTGTGCAAGAAAAGATAGGGAGACTTGGTGGGAAAGAAAGAGCACTCGAGGGAGGTTCTATTTAGCATGTGATTATTGCTGAAGTGTTTCATTAGCAGGCGAGCATGTCTGTGTGTCGTCTTTGCTATCTTTGCGGTAAACACTGGTTCCAGGCACAAAGGATCTCTCGGGCTCTTCAATCGTTGCTGCATCGCTACACCAATTAGCACGGTATTCTTTCTTTCTTAAAGTGGAGAGTATTATGGCATGCCCATGAACTGAGCTGCTGACTTGTCCATGCTAGATACAGTATAGCCCAGTGATGGGCAAACTCGGTCCTGGAGGGCCGGTGTCCTACACAGTTTAGCTCCAACTGTAATCAAACACACCTGCTTATAGGTTTCTAGTGATCTTGAAGACACTGATTAGCTTGTTCTGGTGTGTTTGATTAGTGCTGCAGCTAAACTATGCAGGACACCGGCCCTCCAGGACCGAGTTTGCCCACCCCTGGTATAGCCTGTTGTAGGATATGCAGAGAGTGTTTAGTAAAGAGCCCCTATTATGCATTAAAAAAAGGGTCATATTTTGGTTTTGGGGGTCTCCAACAACAGGCTGATATGCATGCAAGGTCAAATAACCCTTTTATTTTCTTATAATATGCACTTATTTTTACCTAATTATCCCAACGACTCCCATATGATTTGTTCAGCGCTTCATTTGTTCCCAAACCCCTCCTTAGAGCGATGCTAATCTGCTTTGATAGGTCAGATGACCCAGTCTGTTGCGATTGGTCGACTGCATTCAGCACGAAACAGAGAGAAACGCCAACCACAGCTTATCAACATTGTTGAAGTAGTCAGAGTGCAGAGTATTTGTGCATTAAATCAATGCAGTTAAACACCAGCATATTGCTCTATTCTTAATTATGACACACATTCAGTATTAATCCACACAGTGGCAAAAGCTGAACTATTTTGACCGCCGCACATGCGTAGGAACAGCTGACGGTGGCCATAGCAACAACAAATGGCAGATGATCGTGAGCTCACAGACATGTTTCAATCCGTAAAAAAAGCAACTTATTTTTACTAATTATTAACTTGTTATTATTTTTTGCTCTTACATCTGTAATCGACGACAAGGCTTTTGCTAGGTAGTGTGGTGTAATTATGGATACTTGCATTAATCGGAGCAGTATTCAAACAAACGGCACACATCGTGTTTTCAACGTGGCTTTAGACGCAATATGAGAATATAAGGAGTTAACCAGATACAGTACAAGCCGTGTGAAGCGATTACAAGAGCAATAACACAATTAAAAACATTTTTTGCAAGCTAGAGAAAACAAGGAGGCAACCGTTTTAATCACACTTACTTACACTCGTGAACTGGAGGAAGAAACTGATCCATGAACTGTGTACTGTAAAGTTCCTGTCAAGCTCTGACAAAGTGTCATACATCAAGTCTTTTCTGATCCTTCCTTTAACAAACAGCTGACGAATGCCCCATTGTAGGTGTGTAGATTGCTGAAGCACTCGTCAGAAAAATGGCGGGAACGCAGCAAAAGGCAGGGGCTATAATGCTGAGGTACTTTTGCAAATATAAACTTCAAGCACCGACTCTTCACAGCCTCATCTTTGGGTACAGAAAATAACACTAACCTTCCCCTCACACTTCAGAGTGCAGCGTCTTCGTGACATGATTCAACCCTGATCTGCTGCAGTGTTTGTCTTCTTTTTCTTTCTACAGTGTTTGTGGGCGGGGCCGGGGGTTTAAATTTGCCCGAGTCTACATGCGCAACAAATGGGCAGGGCTTGAGTTCTGTATTGACGTCACACCGACAAGGCTAAAGATTCATTACCCTGACAATTTATTTAATCCACGCTGAGTCGACTCTTTTATAGATGAATTAATAATTTTAAATATGACACACTTTCAGATTCACTTCACTTTGAGCTGTTACACACTGCATGGAGGGTCATTTTCAAAAACCCATAATAGGGGCTCTTTAAGTATATTTTGCATATGATAATTCGGTCACACTTTACAATAAGGTTCATTAGTTAATGTTAGTTAATGCATTTACTAACATGAAAAACAATGAATAATAATACATTTACTACTGTATTTGTTCATGTTAGTTAACATTAGTTAATGAAAATACAGAAGTTCATTGTTAGTTCATGTTAACTCATGGTGCATTAACTCAGTGGTTCCCAACCTGGGGTCCGCGCCCCCCTAAGGGGGGCGCCAGAGTTCACAGGGGGGGCGCGGGAGAGGATAAGTATTGAGGTAGAAAAAGGCATAAAAATGCTCCACTATTATAAAGGGCTTTGCAATTAATCGAATATCCGATTTAGATTTCGGTTTCAAACGATTATAAAAAAGCATTAATCGAGATAAATGATTATTGCATCATATTTTGCCACGTTCCAGTTGTACACGCTCTTAAATGGCTCTTAAAAGCGCGAAAAAGCTTATGTGTGTGTGCAGCACGATCACGCAGTCAGAAGCATGCGGCCGGTCAGCATTCACTCTCATTCGCACACTGAGACGAGCAGAGGAGCGCAGACATCTAAAGTCATCTTAACGTGAGCGCTTTAATGGTCAAACAGGTGTCAAAACGCGGTGTTTAGTGATTATGTACATTAACCCTCATTTGTGTTATAAACAAACGAGTTGAGGATCAAAAGACGTGAAAGAGAAACCATTAAAGAGACAGCGCGCTATAATCCTTCTGCCACCTGTTTTTATCATTATTAAACAAACACAACGAGAAAACCCTCGCTGCTCTTGAATGAAGGACTGCTGTAGCTAAAGTGTTTTTCTTACAGTGAAGATGCTTAAAACACAGTTTGTTTTATATTTTTATTCTATTGTATTTATTTCTCTTTCCTTTGCAGGGTGGAAAATAACTGTATGTATACAGTTGAAGTCAGAATTATTAGCCCTCTTGAATATAAGCAAACCTTTTCCTGCCCAATTTCTGTTTCATGGAAAGAAAATTTAATAACTTATTTCTGAACATAATAGTTTTGATATCTCATTTCTAATTACTGATTTCTTTTTGTCTTTGCTATAATGACAGCACACATAATATTTTACTAGATATTTTTCAAAATACAAGCATTCAGATTAAAGTGCAGTTCAAAGGCTTAATTAGAGTTTATTAGTTTATTCTGCAGACATATATAAAATATATATTGCTTAAGGGGGCTAATAATATTGACCTTAAATTGGTTTCAAAATATTTAAACCTGTTTTTATTCTAGCTAAAATAAAACAAATAGAAGAAAAAATATTATAGGAAATACTGTTAAAATTCCTTGCTCTGTTAAACATAATTTGGGAAATATTTATTAAAAAAAAAAATCTCAGGAGCGCTAATAATTTTGACTTTAACTGGCAATGGTTTTGAATAATCGTGATTACAATTATGACCAAAATAATCGTGATTATGATTTTTCCCAAAATCAAGCAGCCCTACTATTATATATGTATTTTTAAGTACCAAAAAAATAAATAAAAATCTAAACGCATGCTTAAAATTCCAACATAATAGTGAAAATAATTAAAATAAATAACTTTAAATAATTATTTAAATTTTGCTCACTCGCGCAATCTGCTTGTCAACGTGTCGTAAAGGCAAAATCAAAACAAAAATGGCAGACAAACGTAAATGCAGTGATTCTTCAGAGGCGAAGAAAAAGATTAGACAGTATGACAAAGCCTACCTAAATTTTGGTTTTGTTGAAGGCCAAGACAAGTTAAAACTGATTAATTAATATTTTCTATACATATTACTATATATTAATATTACACAAACACACATATATATATATATATATATATACATATACATACAAACACACACAGTACATATGTATGTGCGTGCGTGTGTATTTATATGGTGGGGGGGCTCCAATGTTTGTATATGTTCATGGGGGGGCCCCAAAGAAAAAGGTTGGGAACCACTGCATTAACTAATGGAAAAAAGCATGGACTTGGATGTCAATAATACATTAGTAAATGTTTAATTATGTTTCATAAATACTGTACAAGTGTTGTTCATGATTAGTTCATGTTAGTAAATGCATTAACTAATGAACCTTATTCTAAAGTGTTACCGATAATTCTGTTGGAGGAAAAATGTTCAATTTTAGCCAATATTTGCTGGAGCTCCTATCATAGAATACCTATAATATCTCTTTAGTTTCACGTTAGATATAAAGTCACATTTGTTCAGTAAATGATGGCAGCATTTTCATTTTTGGGATAAAATATTCCTTTAATCCCCCTGCAAATCTCAGATTCTCTTTGCAGGTGCAGTAAATTGTCTGCTCTAATAATGTGCATATCCTTTTATGGTGTAACGCAGCTTCTTTCTCAAAGCCTCGCTCACTTATTCACAGTGTCATTTCACACTCCTCATTTCGTTTATCCCTATACGTCTGTAATAGAGCATTTAATTTGTATTTTACCTGGAGCGGGCTTCATCATTTACTGTCAGTCACAATGTTGTCGTCTATCCATCATGCCGAGTATTTTAGGCAAGAAGCTGTATTTGACATACAGCTACTCTTAAGTGCCACTTTGTATCTACTAAAAGAGATAAAGTGCTATCAGTGTGCGACCCATATTTGAAGGACATTCGCAGTGATGTCTTATAATCCCATTTTTGCTAACAAAGTGTAGGTTTGGGTAAATCCTGCAAGAGTTTTGCAGTGGGACATTAACCATCTAGTCATGACACCTTCACCACTACTGCATTCTGGTTTATGCTGGTCAGATCTTATTGGTGGAGATGCAGGTAAACCAAACCAGCTCAACTGACTAGCTAGTTGGTGAACAAACTCCATCTTACTGCTTAAGCTAGTTGTCTTAATTGTGGCGTGTTACAAATGGGATGCGTCAGCCTCTAAAGGTCACTCTGGAGAGAGATCGATCATGGCTGCCATGGTGGCCCTTCAAATGGCCCTTCACAATGAAGGATTGCAAAAGTTAAATTGATGGACAT